TCAAAATCTGTGTGTGCTGGTAGTTCTCTTAAATAAATTTACATTATGTTCAAGGTTATATCACTAGGTACGCATTAGAGTTTCTTATATTGATCTTTCTGTTCTAAACTACAATGACACTTAGATTAGAAATTCAAGGAAAAATTACTCTCTATAATCCATTGATTGACCAGATGCTTTACTTTTTTAAATGGTCCACCTTTAATAAGAACAGGGAGGGCATTGTACACTGTGGGACCCGTGTAGCTGATATGTCTCTGCGTTGCAGAAAGCCTGACAAAGGACAATGCCAAGTTCTGATTTGCAGCACTACGAATATTGTGGTTAGTTGATAATTTATTTCTGTAGCAGCTATTGGTTAACATGAAGCTTATCACAGCCCTGGTGTACAATTGTTCTACAGATAACAATTTACTCTCCTGAAAAAGAAGTTCAGTTGAGAATCTTTTACCCTTAAACATCATGATTTTAATTATGTATTTTTGGGCAATAATAAGACTGGACGTTGTGGCTTTGTTTGCGCCCCCCCAAGTTACTATACCATAAGTCAATATGGACTCAACCAATGAGAAATATATCATTTTCAGCATTTTTGGAGGCAGAATATTTCTGAGTTCATAAAATTTATGTATAAGCTTCCTAACTTTTTTTGTGACATAATCAGTATGAGTTTTCCAATTTAATTTTTCATCAAGAAATATACCCAAATACTTCACAGACTCAACTCTTTCAATTCTATCATCACATTCACATCTACTTATTTTATTATTAGTGAGACAGTTAGTCTTGTGAATTTTGAGACTCCGGATCGTCGGTAGGGTTCTTGGGGTATGGCCAAATGTGAGGAACTTTGTCTTTTCAACGTTCAGTGATAGAAGACTGTGATCGAGCCAACATTTTATTTTTGAGATGGCAATTTCAGCTTTTTTTATGGCAACATTCCATGATTCACCTTGCACTACTATCACTGTATCGTCTGCGAAGCAAAACACCGTCCCCTCCTCATCAAGGACCGAAAGAACATCATCAATATAGATGCTAAACAATATTGGGCCAAGCACCGTCCCCTGTGGCACACCACAAACCACCGCAAGAGGCTCACTCATAACATTTCCAATTTTGACTCTTTGAGTTCTGTTTGTTAAGTATGACTTTATAAGTTTATATACTACTCCTCTAATTCCAATTTTGTGAAGCCTCTGCAATAGTATGTGATGCGCCACAGTGTCGAATGCCTTCTTCAGGTCCAAGAAGATACCCACAACTCTTTTTCCCTCATCCAGACCTCCAAGAATCATCTCAGTAACCCTTGCCAAAGCACTTTCGGTACTGGAGTTTTTTTTGAAAGCATATTGGTTTTGCGAAAGCAAGTTTTTTTTTTCGAAAAATGATTGGAGCCTATTTTTTATGCACTTTTCAACTAGTTTACCAATTGTGCTTATTAGAGCGATTGGTCTATAGTTGGAAGTTAATTCATGGTTCCCATTTTTGAACACTGGCACAATCGTCGCTTTCTTCAGAATTGTTGGAAAAACTCCAGTATTCAAAATACAGTTTACAATATGCAGCAAAGGGTTAATAATATACCCATGGTGTCGCTTCAGAATCTCAGAAGTAATTTGGTCTTGCCCACTCTTCACATTGTTTTTTAATGAATTTAAAAGGGTTTTCAACTCATCAGCCACGACAGGAGCAAAATAACAGGATTGTATGTTTGTCTCTGATTTTACTTTAAAATTTTTTCCCAGTGGTTTGATTTTTTTTGCTAATCTGGGTCCCACATTGCTAAAATATGTATTGAACTCGGCAGCTATTAGGCTTGGCTCCCTGATGGTCTCATTTTTTTCATTGAGAATACTTTTGATTTCATTTCCATTTAATTTGTCATTGGTGACTTCTTTTATAATATTCCAGGTTTTTTTTAGGTCACTTTTGTTATTGTTAAGTTTTGTTTTGTAATATTGATATTTTGTTTTGTTTATTAATTTGGATAAAATATTGCGATAGTGTTTATAGTTATTTTGGATTTCAGGATTACCTGGTTGTTGCGTGCATTGCTTTTTTAGTTGGTCTCTTTTACGAATGGATTTAACAAGACCACCAGTGATCCAAGGCTTTAACCTAGTTTTTCTGTTACAAATTGTATATTCTTTGGTGCAACTTTCTATCATATTAGTTAGGCAGTTGACAAAGTTATTAGTACAAGTTTCTGCATTGTTATCACTGAGTACATCATCCCATTCTGCTTTAGGTATAAGTTTTGAGAGCATAATATTATCTAGTTTGCGGTAGAGTTTATTTTTTCCTGGTGTACCAACTTCATTTGGAAGTTTCATGTTCAGCAAAATGGGGTAATGATCAGTAAGGTCTCTTTTTAAAATTACAGGGGTTATGTCACTATAGCTTTCATTTTTACATTTGACAAAAAAATGGTCAATGCAGGTTGCTGTGTTTTCAGTTTGCCTTGTTATGCCATTTATTAAACTAGTATAACCGAGACCACTCATGATGGTTAAATAGTCACCAACCTTGGTACAATTATTATCCAATAAGTTGAGATTGATATCACCTGCAAATATCGATATTTTTTTAGGATCAGTAGATGTTGCTTGATTTAAGATATTACTCAAACTGGCTATAAAATCATCCTTGTCTGTTGACGGAGATCGATATAAGGCAAAGATATCAATCTCAACGTTACACTTACTTACAGATACTTTGAGGCATTTTACATTATTGTGTTCAACAATGACACACTTTTGATAAATTTCTTCCTTGGCAAAAACCAAACATCCGTCGAAATTAGTGTGCATACTTTGGTTCCAAAACGCACAATACCCTGGTATGCTGAAGTCAGAGATGTTACTAATTACATGCGTTTCTGATAAGACAATGAGGTCCAGAGACCTTCCAATTGATTCGAGAAAAATCAACATACTATCGAAGTTTTTGTACATACTACGTATGTTTATATGAATTATATTTAAATCACTTCGACTATCACTGAATGTAGCAATTTCACTAATATTATCACATTCCTGTGTTACACAAGACTTATATTCATCGAGGATATCATTTAGAGGATTGAATGTTTATAGAAGTTTTTCTTGCCTTAACATGACTACCTTTTGGATTGTTTATAAGCCTAGCAGGCTGTCCTCTGAGACTATTTTAATAGCGGTGTCCCCTTCAGTTTTTTTTAAATACATAAATTTAAATAACAGTTACTAAAGTCTTATAATACTGACTAATTCCTAATATTGGATAATGTTCTAATACAAGATAATCCGATAATCCGATAATCCATACTAAAATCATGTAATATTTACTAATATCCAATATTATTCACTAATACTGGCTAATACTTGATAATACTCTAAAAACTAATATTGTACAAAATATCAAAGAGTGTCGCACCCCTCGCCTTTATCAGTAGAGCAAAAAACAAACAATTTCCGCACGCTCGTAGGAAAAATGTTGTACCTATCATGAGCGTAAAGTATTTTCCAGACTTACGGACGGTTTGCACAAACTCCGCTGGTGCGTCCCGTTGCGTGTGGAAAAGTATAACTACCCACTTATCCACACTTGTTAGGGGAATAACTATTTTGTTTTTGTTAGTTTAAAGTTGTTTAGTTTTTGTGAGTGTATGACGCAACCGAATTTTCGTGAAGAATGTAGTTCATTAGTTTAAACTTTGGATTACAAGATCCACCAGAGATCTGGGGTTTGTGGCAGGATTAACTTGTTAGATCATAAAAAATTCCAAGGGTGATGGCAATATCACTGAACCATTACTTAAATTGCCTAACATGTACATTCTTGAGAAGTCTAGCCTTGAATTTTGTGAAATAAGTAACCTTGCCGCAATCTGTAAAATCAAGATCTTCTCCTATGTAACGGTTCTGAAAACTTTTGGTTCAATTCTTATGACATAAAAAACGCTGCAAATGATCGGTGTTGTTCGTTTATTTGTTTTCAATGTAATGAACTGAACTAATGAATTTGCCACAAAGCAGCGCTTGTGCTGAGAGGATATTCTCAAGCCTACTTAAATAATATAAAAACCAAAAATAGAAATAGGATAATTCTTATACCCTCAACAACAAATTCTTAATAATTGTTAGCTAAAGAGGTACCAACGTCACCAAAAGTAACGACAGCATCATATTAGCTCTCGTACTATTATATGATTTTTAGGGCCAAATATTCATCAAACTATGCTGTTTTCAGACCCCACTTTTTCTGTTTTTTTTTCTTGTGGGCCCCACAATTCATTTCTTTAATCTTCAGCAAAAAAAAAACAGAAAAATAGTATGTTTTTTTTGGCAGATTTATTTACAAATAAATGATGTTAGAGGTTATGAAATACGGAGCAAAATGAGCGAGCTCGATACGCTCTCTCGACGTATTTACGAACTTGAAAATTTTGCTCGAAACGCTCGAAATAGAATAAACGAACGGAATTTAGCAATTTCGAGCACACAGATCGAATAAACGAACGGGCCTTCTAATGCCGGTAGATACTGGGGTCCCACAGGGGTCTGTACTTGGGCCAATTCTTTTTTTAATATATCTTGAAGATCTGTTGAAGTTAGTGATTGAAGGTGCTTTTACGACTTTTGCCGATGACAATACAATTACTTGGAGTCATAAGGATTTGCAAGTTTTAAAGCAAATGGTTGCTAATGATTTGGAGAAAATTAAGTTATGGTGCGACTCTAACTTTCTGTGTTTCAATATTGACAAAACTAAGGTTTAAGTTCGATTTTGATGACCTTCAATTGGGTCAACAGTCAATATCACAAAGTGAAAATACAAAATTTTTAGGAATTTATATTGACATATCGACATACCGAAATAACAATAGGGAATTGAGAATTAGAGATTTAGGTACCTAATTCCAGCCTTAATTCTCAAGGTGGGACTGGGACTTTAGCTAGAAGGCATAAAGAATAGAATGGATAGATTCAGATGAAACATATGGAAGTTCAACTTACCTAATGCTTCAAATTGTTCAGAAATTTGGAAAGCCAACTCCCTAGTTGGTGTCAAAATCAATGCAAAATGCCTCTGGGGATTCTCTAGTAGGGCTTGTAAGATTGGCAGTGCAAAAGCAGCAGTTTTTCCCGAACCTGTCTCAGCTAATCCAATAATGTCTTTGCCTTGTAGCGCTACTGGTATAGATTCTCTTTGAATTTTCGAGGGAGTTTTCCATTTTAGTTGTTCACAGGCTTTGCATAGGGCATCTACAAGACCCTGATAAAGTTGTTAAATCGATATTTTTGAAAAAAGAGTAATTTATTGGGGGAAAATTATTCATTGAGGTTATCTTCAAACACGTGTTAACTTACCAAATCTTGCCAAGTTACTTCAGGTTCTGCATTTTCTTCGGTTTTTTTGATGGATAGTGAATCTTCTTCTAATACACTGGTAATTTCTTGTTCCGTTTCACTTTCATCTTCTGAATTTTCCTCAATATTTTCATTTTCTTGAGCCATTTTCACTCTTCAACTTTCAACTTTTCAAAGTAAAAAAAAATAACTTTTGAACGCTGTCAGACAGACGTCAACAGTCAAAAATGAAATGGCACGACAGGAGCGCCTTCATGAATAGCTGTATTCCTTTCAAGAGTTTAAAGTTTGAAACACCAGAGCTACTCGCTCCGGTGTTACTCGACCCCGATTTGAAAGGAACAGGGCTGCGTTCAGGAATGACTACAGCCAAGCCAAAATTGGCATTTTGCGTTCGTTTTCGACTCCAACCTACATGGTTCGGCATTACAGGTGGAGGGGGAAAAGTAGGTTTGGGCATTAGCATTGCCGACCTTGAACGCAACCCTGATGCACTGGCTTTCATTCATTCAAATGGTTTGAGTAGGGCTTGAGCACTCACGTGTAACACACACTTTTCGAAAGGTGTTAAAAGAATACAAATAATGCCCACCGGAGCTGCTTTCCAGTGCCTTAATTGTTAGAGTATCATGCTCCTGGAGTGTGACGTGTGACGCTCTTGAACTGTTCGACATAAGCAGCACCAAAGACAATACTACTACGTTAGTATTGTCTTTGGCAGCACTGGAACGCTCTTGTCTTAACCCCCACCATTTTGGACTTGACTGGAGCGCCATGAAACACCGAAATAATGGATGGTGCACGAGGGGGTAGGGGATAACAAAAATGATTAGTTCAAGTAGACGACACTCTAAGCACTGGAACCCGTAAAGTAATTGTGGAGCACTCCTTAGCCCGGTATTCATAAGCCGCTTTCCAGCTGGTGCTTCAAGCACGGTGCAGAACAGTGTTCTGTGTTTGAAACGCAAAAGCTAGCAGCTCTCAAAGCGCAGTACGGCTGGAACACAAACATGCGCTTGAAGCATTTGCGCGCGCAAAAGCTTGATTGCGTGCTCAAAATGAAGTGCTTTCCAGTGACCCATTTGAGTTACTCCTGAGCAGCTCAGGAGTGCTCCACGATTGCTTTGCGCGTTCCAGTGCTTAGAGTGTCGTACACTTGAGCTACTCATTTCTGTTATCCCATGCCCCCTCGTGCACCAACCCTTTTGTCTGTGTTTCATGCTCCTGAAATCCGAAATGGTGGGGGTTAAGACGAGAGCGTTCCAGTGCTGCTTATGTCGAGCAGTTCAAGAGCGTCATACTTCAGGAGCATGATACTCTAACAATTTAGGCACTGGAAAGCGGCTATGGTTACAGTGGCTAAATAAACCTTTACATACAGTGGCGACAATAGAGGTCCCGCCGCCATCTTGTTCCCTACCTCTTGTTACTTTTAAATATTAATATATAGGATTTAAATGGACATCTATCATAAAAAATTGAAATCGACGTATTTGATGACCATTATTATGTCCATCAAATACGTTCTTTTCCATGATTTATGATGGATGTTCACCTAAATCCCATATATTCATATTTAAAAGTAACAAGGGGTTGGGAACAAGATGGCGGTGTTTTCAATGTAAATATATGGGATTTTAGAACCAATCAAAAATGAGACAGCAATTGTCGCCACTGTGGGTTATAGAGTCACTGTAAAAATGGTCAGCTGGAAAGCGGCTATAATCGGGTGCTTGGCTCAAGCTCCGATTTTTGACAGTTGTGAGCAGGGATGTGCGTCTACACGTAGACTTTCATTGTCTACTTTACGTGTAGACAATGTAGACAATGTAGACAATGTGTCAACAATGTAAAATAACATAAATGACGTTTAATTCTAACCTCACACTTTCCTTTTTTTAAATTATTCTTATTTTATTATTGATTTTTCTCATATTTTCCAATCAGTGAATGCTGATATCGAAGTGATTGTGATAGTATAGTAACTTTTGATATTTTTTTTCGAATTTTTTAAAATAAGTTATTGTTTACGCCGCATGTAGACAATGTGTAGACAAATGCTCACGTAAACAATTCGAATTGTCTACGCTGGTTGTGCGTATCGTTCCGTGCTGTTTGAAAACGCAAATATGGCGTCAAGTCGTACTTGAGCCAAGACGCAACCTTGAGCATCGACGAATACGGGCCTTAGCTGCTCCAGGAGTAACTCAAATGGGTCACTGGAAAGCACTTCGGTATGCAGTATGCACAAGGATAATACACACTACTGTAAACACAGGATTGCTATCGGCATAAACCGAATTTTCGCGACGAATGTATGTAGTTCATCAATAGTTTATTTGTGACGTCATGGGTTTGAACGCTGGCTTGTGGTTGCGTCCAAGCTTCCAGCGAACTACGTTTAATATGACGTCATGAGTTTCTCGTGAAAGCGTTCGAGTTCATGGAATCATGGAAGTAGGTAGTTCGTCGCGAAAATTCAGTTCTAGTTTTTGGGAATCGCGGCCATATTTTATAGCACCATTGACAACGTCATCAACTACGTCGTTAGCTGTTTGAGCCAGCGGTCGTAGTTTAGAATTAAGAACCGTAAACTCTACAGGATTGCTCAATCCCCTAAGACATACGTTTACTAAAATATCGAACATTGAGGAATGCGAGTGACGTCACGCAGTCCTTTTGACGGTGCATTTTGCTTGCATTTTCAAACGTGAAGGTTTTTTATTTTTTTTGAAAACAGTATTTTTTAAATTTAGCAGAGACTTCAAAAGTTTGTTTGAATGGGGTACTTGCATGGAAAATTAAATTGATTATTGTTTATTGCAAACTGTAGGAAATCGAAAAAAAATAGTTACTTTTTTTTAATTTCACCCAAATATGATTATTCCGGAAGTTATACAAATATTAAGTTTTTTATATATAGATATACTGAGCATGTGCGACGTCACAACTCACAACATATTATACCTAAGTTATGACGTCGGAAGGACATTTCAAAGCGTTGTATCTCCGTCAATTTTTGACTAACAAGAAAAAGAAAAAACACGTGTTGACTTATTTTTCATGGACTTTCGAAATCAGCAATAAAAAAATTTGATGCAAGGGGCCTATTATATTGTCATCAGCCGTGATTTTGAGCTTGCATTAAGACGAGTTCGTTTGCTTGCTGCTTATTTGGGCGGGTATTATAAAACTACTTTGAGAGTTAACTTGAAGTTAACTTCTGGAATTACATGTAATTCAAAAAGTTAACTTCAAGTTAACTGTCAAAGCAGTTTTATATAATACCCACCCTCGAGCAAGATTTCAAAATACCCGCTTAAATATTATGTTCGGAACACTGATCTAAAAAATAAATGGATAAACAAATCATACGGCTTGATTGGCAAAATTTTTGCGAAAAGGACCCAGTATTTCGTATACTCTCCACACTAAAAGTCGCAAAAAAGTTCAAATTTCAACGCTCATATCTCAAAGACAGTAATACCTACAAGATTTCGTCCCATTTAAAGGTTGTTAAAAAATAAATCCTCTACAACATAAAATCTGTTTTTTTTTTTTAAAGATAAAAGTCAAAATGACAATATGTTGGCAATACAATGTAAAATTGTCAATGCTTTCAAATTTATTATGTAGAAAAGGCTTGTGTTGCCAACATATAGTTACTAAATTTTTGACTTGGGGAATTATCTTTAAAAAAAAAACAGACTTTATCAGGTGAGGCGTGGTTAGCTGTCAAATATTGGAATCTGATATCCAAAAACAGAGTAACTATGGCAGATTTTGATGAACAAAAAATCTATTTCTACTAAGGGCGGGTATTATAAAACTGCTTTGACAGTTAACTTGAAGTTAACTTTTTGAAATACATGTAATTCCAGAAGTTAACTTCAAGTTAACTCTCAAAGTAGTTTTATAATACCCGCCCTAAGTCGACCAAGTTAAGTCGAAAAATGTCAACTGTTTTAACACCTGTCAAAACCCTGCCAAACGGCAGCACTCATCTTTTCCAGTTTTCAATATTTTATGTTGTCATTTGACATTTTTAACTTATATGTAAATTCTGAATTCAAAAATTGAAAAAAAAAAAATGACAGCTGTTAAAATGTGACGTGCATGAACTTTGTTCAATGTTTTACCACCAATAAACTACCTCAAAACGAGAAAGGATCAGATTAGAGTATTTTTTTCTACTAAAACAAATGACAGGTTTTGACAGTTCTGTCTTTTTTTTTTTTTCAATTTTTGAATTTAGAATTTATATATAAGTTAAAAATGTCAAATGACAACATAAAACCTTGAAAACTGGAAAAAATGAGTGCTGCCGTTTTGCAGGATTTTGACAGGTGTTAAAATGGTTGACATTTTTCGACTTAACTTGGTCGCCATAGTAGAAATAGATTTTTTGTTCATCAAAATCTGCCATAGTGTTACTCTGTTTTTGGATATAAGATTCCAATATTTGACAGTTAACCACGCCTCACCTGTCATATATACAGGGTTGTGCCCATGGTAAAAAATGTTGCTTACGGCATCCCTAACAACATATTTAAATTTCATCCAAATATCACGGGTAACCAATTTCCATTTAAATATTGCGGGGTCCTTTGAAAAAAATCGACCGATCGCCAAAATCCCATATAAGGTGTGCGGGGTCCTTGGGGTCAATATTCTACAAACAGTTGTGCAACGGAACAGCCTAACGCCTGCGCTGTGTCTTATCTTTCGAACAATTGACCTTTTGCTTGGACGCCATATTGCGGTGCGCGAACATAGCTGCCAAAAGTAGAAAACAAAAATTACTAGCGGGCTGTCAACATTAAAAACAAAAATAACTAAATGATTGATCCTCGCTGTCCTTTTTGTTTGTTTACTTTCTTTTTCTAATTCTATAAACAATAAAGCTTAGAGCAGGTAAAGCGCTGTCCTACGGACATAAGGAGTAGGAACGCGCCATTCTGCTTATGAAACTAAAGTGAAGCCCAGTTTTGGGCAGGTGTTTGGCACCAAAATACAGGTAAAGCATTGAATTGCCATAACCGCCATTTTTTGTGGGCCAAAATACCTGGGGTGCGTTCAAGGACGGCAATGCCAAAACCTACTTTTCCCCCTCCACCTGTAATGCCGAACCACGTTGGTTGGAGCCGAACTCGAACGCAAAATGCCAATTTTGGCTTGGCT